TATTCAGACGGTTCTTTCTTGACTATTAAACCTTCTTTGTAAGTGACGTGTTTGGTTTTACGTGTGTGTCTGTGTGTGTGTGCTGTAGCCAAGCTCTCAGCACTGGCCTCATGATGAAGCCCAACACCATTATCCATCTTCAATATTTAAAGGCGGGTGAGGAGGGGGTGGGGGGAGTTGAGGAAGAGGAGCTCACATCCTCTGGATGGTCAAGGTCACATGAAGAAATCCGGCAGCAGAAATGTCTCTAAGCTGATCTGACTGTATGTTTAGGATTTCATACCTGAAGCTGCAGGCTGGGTGCATCGCTTGGTTGTGGGCTGGAGAGTTAAAACAGACCATATTTCCTTTGTGCTGCATATTTAATAAGGCAAAGCATGCAGGGAATTACTTTCCCTTCAACTCCCCACATTTCCTCTCAGAATGACCCTCTTTACTCGAGCAGCGGCAGACCTTTTCATTTCGTACATTCCTCTTCACGCATTATCGGAAACATACCCATTCTAATGCAGGTCATAAGCCCGACTTTGCTGCCGCGGTGCCTGCGCCGTTGTCGGTAATGTGGTTTTCATAGAGGGGGTTTGCGTGCTTGGAATTTATGGAGAGGTCTTGGTTCAGGTAGCTGAGGTCTACATGACATGTTTGTTGTCATGCTTGAAGGAGAGGAGGATCGCTGAGAGTAAGCATCTGGGACCAAAACAGCTGCTTATGCTTAGTTGGAAATCTAAAGAGTGAAATCAAAGAGTGAAAAGGGCCTTTCCAGAGTTTGTCTAATTCCCCAAACCATACAAAAAGGCCTCCTTTTTTTTGGGGGGGTCCATCTTAAAGTGAATATATTATGCACAATTCCAGCTCCATATTTTTTTTTATCTTTGGACTCTACTAGAGTTATTTTTCATGATTCGCAGTTCTTTTTACCTTCTCTACCAGTCTCTCAGCTAGCTCACTGTCTAAAAGAAACAGGTTTAACACAAACTGTGGTTAAACTCAACCACAAACTTGAATTCAGTTTACTCTGTCGTGCAGTTTCCTGCTCAACTTGTATAACTAATTGTGGGAAAGAAACTACAGTGAAAGGCAAGATTACAGACAGGAAGTATGAAGTCGAAAGAAATCAAACTCTTAAAAGGCAGCGAAGGTGAAAAGACACTGTTAAAAATATTTTGCACTATGCAGCTGGTGACATTTTTGATTATATTCATGTTATTTTACATTCTGGGTGAACAAGGTTGATTAACACTTGATACAAACAGCAAATAATTTTCATAAATACTTCTGTTTTTGGGATCTTTCTCTTGTCTCTGGGATAAGGAATGTCAAAATATGTTTCTAATGTCAAGGTCAAATCGAAGGCATTCCCACCAGAGGAGTAAAATTGTTGTTTGACCATTGTCTGTTCTAAATTGTGTAACACAGGATTATTATCAGCGAGTTATTTATAATAAGTTCATCAACCGCATGTTTAAAACAATATTGGTAAATAGCCTGTGTATGAAGGTTTATAAGGTCGCTGCTGATGGTAAAAGGAAAAACGTTTATTTTGAAGATTACACAGTGTAACCCACTGCATAAACTGTATAAGAAAAATGGAAATGGTGAGGGTGACATAATCCATTAGTCTTTGTGATGGCTGCACTTACAGCCACACAGTGGTAATACCCACCATGTTAGTGTAGAGGCTTATAAGTAACATTGCATTCACAT